CTCAATTAAACGACGCAATAAAGCAATAAGTCTCTGGTCATGAGCTCCCTTATCAGCACCATGAACAATCAGATCATCTTGATAAACTTCAACACCTTCAAGATCACTAACCACCTTATTCATAACTTCCTGGAATATGGCTGGAGAACAACTTAGCCCAAATGGAAGGAAATTGTATTTAAACAGACCAAAAGGAGTATTAATTGTCGTCAAAATAGATGAGGATTGATCTAAAGGGATTTGAAGATAAGCATCTTTTAGGTCAACTTTCGAGAACACTTTAGAACCATGAAGTCGATTTAGGATATCTTCAGCCTCTACTGTAGTGCATGTCTGCTTCAATAAACGGGAGTTCAAGGTTAGTCTATAGTCACCACATATCCTAGGAGTCTTGCCATCCGATTTCAGTGGCGTAACAATAGGAGTACCCCATGCTGAAGACTGAACAGGTTCAATTACACCTTTTGTACACAAATCATTCAAAGTCTTATGCACTGCATCTCGAAGACCGTAAGGAATTATTCGTCTTTTGAGAAAGACTGGTTCACCCTGTACTTGAAGTTTTATAGGCTGGATTTTCATACCTCCACTGCACTTAGCACACGTGGCTATCAAATCTTTAAGTAAAGCATCAGAATTTTCTTTAGAAACTAGGAAAGACAACTCCACTTTAAGTCTTTTCAAATTCTTTAAACCCAGTATTGAGAGTCCTGTTTCACTAACTAAAAATTCACAAGGTGTGTATGAGGAATTATCATCTCTTATTAGCAATTCACAACATCCTCGTATAGGCAGTTTGTGTCCAGTAATCCCCAATATTGATACTTCAGTGGGTCGTATCACAACGTTCGGATCTAACGATTTCAAGTTCTTGAATGAAATAATGGACTCTATACTGCCTGTGTCCACAATAAAGTCATGAAATGAACCAAGCGATGTATATAGTCGCTTTTGAATATGAGCATTACCTTTCGAAATGGTAGACAAAGATAAATGATCATTAGGATCAACTGAATTATTGGAATGTAAATTACAAGCTTTAGTACTACTTGAGGCAAAATGAACAGTAGCTTTGCATACTGCTTGAATGTGTCCTATCTTACCACATCTAAAACATTTAGCATTACGAAATGTACAATAATAACGAGAATGAAGTTTTCCACATGATAAACATTTGCCAAACTTGGTCTCACCTTTTTGATTTCCTTTGTAATTCTTTTTTGAGACACCGTTCATTTTTACACGAGAATCGGAACCTCTGTTAAACGAACACAATTTTGATTGACCCTGAGATTGTTTTTCATCATGACAACTAATCAAAGTATTGGAAATCTTCATCGACTGAATATCAAGTTCATTCAACGCCTCGTAGTTAATGCACGCAGTTCTAACATCTTGAAAGGAACAGTTTGACATTCTTAACAGCTCTCTTTCCAAACTAGGTATGTTAATTCCTGCAATTAATCGGTCTCTCAGCTGCACATGAAGTTGATCACCAAAATTACATTTGACAGCCTGTTTCTGCAATTCAAGAATGAATTCCTTAACATTTTGGTCATTTTGACGAATCATCTTATGAAATTTCGCTCTTTCACGGCATTCAAAACCAGGGCACTTTACATGATTCAATAATAACTCCTTAAGCATTGCATAGGGAAGTGAAATAGGTTTTTCTGGATATGCCAAGGTTTTCAATAAGCTGTACGCTTCTTTTCCGATGAATGTTAGGAAATGAGCCACAATTTTATCATCTTTGACATCTTTCCTGGTCATACTCCAGATTTCAAACCTTTCCAAATAATCTTCAAAAGCTTCAGAAGTAGAATGAATATCTAGCTGTTCCATTACAAGTTCCATCGCGACGCCAGTGTAGTATTTAGAAGTATATGTATCAAGAATTAAAGATATGCACAAACGAATGTATTGTATTTAGAATTCGAAATCAAGCATTTCACAACAACAAGAAGTTACTAGTTCATTCAAACACCACACAGCCGGTCTAACCAGTGTCGCTGCCAAACAGCAATTTAAAAACCATATTCGCACGGCTATTTAAAGTTTAGCGTTTCCGACTAATCTTTTAACCATGGGATAATATGGTTTTAGGAAAAGGCCTTTCGTATCTGACAAATCCTCTCATTAAAAAAAGAAGCTAAACTGTAGCGAAACACAGCAAATATAATTTTCATAGGTCTAAGTGAAGTTTAAATCTAAGTCTCTCATCTGCGGTAAAAGGTTTGAGGGTCTAATGAGGTTTTATTAGGTCGTTTCACTACCAGAATGAACAATCGTTCAGGATACCAGGCCGGACTTTTTTAACGCAGCTTAGAACAAGGGATTCAAGCAACAACTGTTTGCTTCAAATTTGATACGTTTATGTTACAGGGAGTTAAAAGGCGAGACCAACACCAGGTGGTCATTATAAAATTTAGAATCTGATCAATACCATTCCGTGGTCTCTTTGTGGTGTGCAATGTATCCCTAGTTTCGTGACTGTTGATAACCAACGTGTTCTCAAACCTCGTGTTATGAATGATATGATTATTTGCATTATTAGGTTGTATGCATCTGTTGTCCGAAGAATGCTCCTTTGGCTCTAAATATCTTCACCTTTACATGGGCATAATAATCAGTTCGTCTACAAATGTTTCTGATCAAAAGTTTCCTCCTATTTCGGAGCTCCTCCATCAAGTGTGATTTGAATTTCGTTCACTGAGTTGCATTCTAGCATCTTCAGTTGATTCGGTTGTAATTTATTAGTGCTGAAATAACGCCAGTATTATCTGATTTTATAAATGGATTTTTAGGAAGTTGAGGTACACCGATTGTGAGCTGGAATGAAATGGTCACTTTAATAATTTGGTATAATAATGGCAGCTGGTTCCCTGAAGATATCTTCAGATATCCCGTTGAGACTAAAAAAAGTCTTGGTTACAGTGTATGAAAAGTATGATCATGGTGACGGATCAGGCGCAAATTCTACTAGGGACAACAACAGCACAGGTTCTTATATTCGGAATGACTGACTTGCGGCGACGCTAACAAAAGTCGGCAAGTGAATTTTGGCGAGCCCATAAAACTATGGAAGTCAGTGATTGTGACTGATTCAAACAGGCGAATAATGAAAGAACCACAGAGTACATCGAAAATTCAGATTTTTGAGATACCTCAATGCAGTCGATCGTTCATATTATCAGATAGTAAGTAGTATCTTTACGTTTTCGAAGGATAAAATGAAAACAATAACTATGGTCAACCAGTAACCATCCAACAAAACATAGCGGTTGATCCAATATCAAATATTTAATATATAGCATAAACTATTTGATTTCTTCGCGCTCGAAAGAAACCGATTACACTTTGAAGTTTAGTTTGTTGCGAATTGAGACTACTTATCATGAAATTATCAAGCTTTCGGAAGAGTCACTGTAACCCAAGTGACGGCTGCTAGTATCCAGAAACCCTACTGCCCTGAAACAAACGTTTCATTCAAATCCCGAGACATACAAACTCACAACCAACTGCCAACTGACTGGAATTAGACAGTCGAGTGGCTAGACCTCCATCCATTGGACATTACCGAACACCTGGAACCGTACCGAAAGAACAAGAATCGAGCGCGAAGAAATCAAATTGGTTTACACTAGCTCGTGAAAAAGATATTGGATATTGGATATTGGATATTCATGTCCGTCTAGTGAGTTGGACTCAAGCTAATTCAATATTCAGGATTCTGTCCTTGAATCTCCCGCGTGTTTTGATACTCATTTCTTAGTAATATTTTCGTGCCTTGAAGTCAATGGATCGTCTCCTTCGACTTGGTGCTGATGGACTGGCTGCCTTAGGACAGTCAAACGCACAGCCAACAGATGGACCTGTACCAGATACTGCTGAGCAGGTGTACATTAGCAGTCTTGCACTACTAAAAATGCTGAAACATGGAAGAGCTGGAGTCCCAATGGAAGTTATGGGTTTAATGTTAGGCGAATTTGTTGATGACTATACTGTGACGGTTGTGGATGTATTTGCTATGCCACAGTCTGGTACAGGTGTCAGCGTTGAAGCTGTAGATCCTGTATTTCAAGCTAAAATGTTGGATATGCTCAGACAAACTGGACGGTACCATTCTTTTTAACATATTCCCACATTTTAAGTCCAGAAATGGTTGTCGGGTGGTACCACTCACATCCTGGGTTCGGTTGCTGGTTGTCTGGCGTGGATATGAATACACAACAAAGTTTTGAAGCACTGTCTGATCGTGCGGTAGCTGTAGTTGTTGATCCAATACAGAGTGTGAAAGGAAAAGTAATTATTTCTCTCAACTAGAAATTATTCACAGGTTGTCATTGACGCATTCCGTCTCATCAATCCAAATCTTGTAATCGCGAACCAAGAGCCAAGACAAACAACATCTAATGTTGGTCATCTTAGCAAACCAACAATTCAAGCACTTATTCATGGTCTTAATAGACATTACTACTCTTTACCCATTAATTACCGTAAGAATAAGTGGGAAATCAAAGTAAGCTCTATATAAAACTGACTTTATCCTTGTCAAAATAAGATGTTGATGAATCTAAATAAGCGTACCTGGAGAGACGGGTTGACTTTAGAAGATTACAATACCCATTGTTCAGCTAATCACAAAACTCTCCAAACAATGCTTGATCTTGTCAAATCATATCAGAAGGTTCGTGTTTTGTTTATTATTCATTTTGTTTAGTCTCTTGAAGATGAAGAAAAGATGACTCCAGAACAATTAGCCATCAAAAATGTTGGAAAAATGGTATGTCATCAATGGTATTTTTTATCATTTCACTCTTTAGGATCCAAAACGGCACCTTGGAGAGCATGTAGACGAATTAATGACCTCAAATATCACTCAATGCCTTGGAGCAATGTTACATTCAGTTGTTTTCACATAAACAATTACCAAATAAATTCTTTTTACAAAACATTGAATTTTATCCAAGTGTTACTTTGACGTTGTGTTTACTAAAGTATTTTTGCTGTCTTTAGGAAACATGAGTTCTGATGCATTGTCTGAAGAAGAGCGTTTACTTATTGAAGCTAAACGAAGGAAAGCTCTTGAGTCCCGTAACCGAAATACTGTGGGTGGACTTGTTAGTTCAATGCCTATAGTTCATAAACAGAATGTGGTCGCTAAACAGCCCTTATCTTGTCAAGGTGGTTATGGTAGTACACAAGCTGCAAAAGTAGGTGAAAATTTTGTACGTATGGCTAAGAATTGGGTGAATACTAGGTAAGTTATTTAGGTTTTGTCACTACACTTTCCCATCTGAGTAGGATGCAAAGTTATCTTTGAGATAGGCGTTAGAAAGTAGCAATTTCGTTTTTCTTACTATTAGACACTCACCAAGTATCGTACTGATCTTAAGACCAATCCGCTCTTCTGTATGTCAAGTCAGAAAATTCTTAGCGTGGTAGTTTTCCTCAGTTACTACATTCACGTTAAAGATTCTAACAGGATTCAACTGTAGGTAACTGGCCTGTGCATGTCTTTTCGGTTAGGCACATAACACCTAGTGTCATCGGTCTCAGTAAAATATTTAGTTAAACTGGGTACTTCGAGCCAAGTCAGTGATTAAGCAATATTAGGTCAGTTGCTTGATTACGAGTTGTCTTATTGTCGTTTCGATATTGAAATTCACCCTTGATAAACTGGCCACTAGATCCATGTAGCTCATTATTAGTACAACTTTTTCTCTAGATGTTGAACACTTGTATCTGTGATCTCGTTATGGCTCTTGGAAATGACCTGCTCTACAATCGACGTATATTTATTATGCCGCCAATATGGTCCCAAAATAAGCTGGAAGAAAAACCTGAATGTAGTGTAATCGAAAGTTTTTTATCTACACTTATACTAGTTTATTTAAGCTTATTAAATGTCTAGATTGCTTTCAGTACTTTTCTTTAACATGGAACTGATATCTTAGGGGTTTTGATAGCTATTTATGAGTGATCGATAACACTGTGCTCATTTTCCAAGAAAGATTAGTTTGTAAGTTTGTGTATTTTCTCGGAATAAATTCGGACTCCCTTTAAAGCTGACATGTCTATGTAATGTATCAGGTCTCGGTTACCCTCATCACTTGTTTTTCTTGTACTGTTGGGTTTAATGATATTCTTTTGTTCTGTATGTTTGCTTCATACTTTAAGTCGACTGAGCTGAGTCATACCATTTAATTATGCCTTGAAAGACTATTATTATCCTTTCTTGCGATAAAATCTATTTCATTGTTGAAAAAGACTATCTGGTTCCTTACTTTGCCAGATTTGACTTCTTACTGTAAGTCAGTCAGCTAGGAACTTTGTATCTTTGACTATCATGGATGACCAGTCGTTTTTATTATCAACGATACTGTCACTACCTCAACTAATCTAGGATTTAGCTTGACATTCATCTCGTGCTGGTGGGGTCTGGCGACTGGAACTTATATGTACGCAAACCAGCTCCAAAATTTGACTGACTCTATTGTATATCTATATGGCAGTGTCTTTTGACAAACCAATTTCTAAAACTTGAGATAACCGGAGTTTGTTTCATTATGTATGTAATGTTATTGAGCAAGAATTGTCACGTTGAATATATTTCGTGAAAGCTATTGGTTGTTACTACCTTAATAATTATCAGTAAACTCTTACAGTTTCTGTTCATCCAGCTTCTTGCAAGTTTAAAAACAACCTTTAAAGCTTCAAATGACTGATATATTAAGGATAAAAAAACTTCGATTCGCATCCAACTACAACTAAGGGTAAAAGATTCATGTCATGATTAATTTTATACAGTATTAAGTCTAGAAGTTGAGAGCCTGGGAAAAGGATTAAATCCTGTGACGTGAATGTAGTCAAAAATTCCTCCAAACTAATTCCTTCATATAGGTCGTGATTATTTTAACTCGTTTATCAGTTTTGTATTCGTTTATTTGGCTTTGAGTCATATCTGTGACAGTCAGTGATACTACCTGGTCACCCAAACTGAAGTAGGTGAGTCGGGGTTTGAATGTGCAACTTAGTGGATCGGGATAGAATGCCTTAACCATTAAGCCATCCCTTGAACTGTATGACTAAGTCACTTCTGTTATTATTGTTTGACATTTCCCAACATAATCTATGAATGTATTAATTATAAAACAGGTTTATTGATAAAAACAATCACTGAATTTCGAATTTATTTGTACTTAACTAGTCGATAATTAAGTATTTTCACATCACCTATCACAGTAATCCAACAACTGTAAATACAACTAAAAATCTAGTCAGTCAACAAACTTCACAAGTCAAACAGAAATTCAATGCGAATTCTTTTTCTTCGAAAACTACTCAGTCTACTCATCATGATGCTTCCAAGTCAAAGACCAGCTTAGTTAATGTACTATGCACATTGTGTTCGCCCAGCAGATTTGAAGTACATGCTAGATATCACGCTGGGCTGACACAGCTATTCAAATCTATGAATTCTAAACAGTATGGTAAGTTGTTATCCTTCAGTTCAAATTAACTTCTGTTCTGTCGTGCTTATAGCATTAATATGACATATGATATGATAGTTTGTTGCAACTTAGTGGGTTTACCCTGTCTTCGCGTTTATAGCATGTATATATATATATATATATATATATATATCACGAGTTATTAAGGAAGCAAATATCGAGTGACTTTCAAAGTAACTGAAATGGTTAACACAGCTATTTCACCTCATAGGCCTAAATTAGACAACAGTGCAACCTGGTTTTGGAGGGATCTCTTCCGTGTGTTATTTTGAAATGTCATAACTTGAGTACCTAAAGTGCTGTGATAAGGAACTAATGTGTACTCATCAGCCAGACAAGTTATATTAATGGTACAGTGAAACAGTAGTGGTTATTGTCTGTAAGCATGTATCGTAAGTGCTAATTTTTTCAGTCTGATTCTGAAGTTTTTTTTAAAAGCTGCTTATACTAAAGTAATCAAGCCGCACATATAAGTTTCCCGGAAAAATATAAAATTCTCGTTCTGAATGTTTGTGGATGCGTCTTAATTGTTTGGTGTTCTTTTAAAGAGATAACTCTGTATCCAGTTTCTGACAATTTATTTCAGAATTTGGTGCAAGATTTCAAGGGGGATAAAGAATTAATATACGTTTACTAATGATATTGGTTTTATATTGTGCTACTCTAATTATAAATGGCAGCTGTTGCTGAAACCGCTCATAGGAGGTCTACGTCTTTCTATATGGCTCCAGTTCATAACTGATTTCATGTTTGATAGAATCTAATTAGCACTAAAGAGTGTCTAGTGTTAGTCGACTTTGTATTTCGGCTCTAAGTTATGATACGGAATGCATCACATGCCACCGAAATTCCAGGATCTGTCCGAAATTTATTCTTGACGATTGATATTCCATTATAATTACGAATGAAAAACGCATTAATATACACAGCAATAATAATTTCATTCGAAATCAGGAACTAGTCATTGTTAGACCATCATTAGAAATCTTGAATCACTGAATGGCTGTTCCGTTGCAGTATAGCACTCATCAATGCACACTCACGACCTCCACTAGCGGGAATCGAATCCAGAACCTTCAGTCTCCCGCGTGGACTCCTAACCTCTAGACCACTGAGCCGGCATCCAATGGCGTTAATATCTAACTTTGATCAAGCCAAGGCATTGTGCTACCTCACCTATCGTCTCGGGTAGTTACTGCTTACACCCGACAAAGTTAAACTCCATTGATCACGGCTTCATTTCATTTAAACGCCATTATTTAACTGACAACAAGCTTACATAATCCAGTACTACAAACGAGCCGATCCACACACAACATACGTTTGTATTCTTGAGAAATATTAGTTTTGTTGGTTTTAGTATCGTGCATCTATTTGATGACTGACATAAACAGCAAGGTACCCTTTCAGTTCAGTCAATCAGATGCAACGTAGAACTTCGTACGTAAGTACATCAGTTCATGTTGCCATACCACATCAGCACAGAGATATAATTGTCAATTCAAATCCAATAGTAGAAGAGGTAGTAAAGGTATTAGAAGTAATTGGAGAGGTTAGGATTAGAACATATTATTCAAGAAGTATGATTCAGTGAGAAAAGTTTAGAAAGTCAAAACTAGAGGGGTTGAAGAATCCAGAAGATTAGGATTTGAGAGAACACAAAGAATAAATACACCGGCGCCATTGCAAACGGTTTTGAGCCATGTCATTCAGGGTATCTAACCATCGATTATTATCATCTCGCGGACCCCAACCAGGTAGTCGACAACTATCGACATGGCTAAGTCCACTCGTCCATGACTTCATGGATTTCTGCCATGTTTTGGTTTGGCCGCCCCTAACTTTCTTCCAACCTATTCCTACACTACAAAACAAAGTTCGTCGAGGCAGTCGATGGTTAGGCATACGTAACACATGTCCCAACCACCTCAACTGATGAAGTTTCATTACTTCATCTATTGATCGGCCGTCCTTACCTAGCATCCGTTTCCTGATAACAGCGTCGCTCACTCGGGTGTCCCACGATATACGAACAAGGCTTCTAAGACATCTATGATCGAAAACCAGTAACCTACGAAAATCTTCTACTCTCACTGGCCATGTTTCATAGCCATAAAGTAAGACGGAGCGAACTACTGCGCAGTACACTCGTCCTTTAGTCAGCAAACGGATATCTCGCCAACGCCATAAGTGACGCAGGTTGGCAAAAGCCAATCGAGCCTTCTGTATCCGAGCTGAGATTTCGTCAGTCACCAGGCCATCAGCACTGATGAGAATCCCCAGATAAGTGAAGCGGTCTACACGTTCGATTACTTCACTCCCTATCACTATTTCACCCTTTCAGTTACTTACCATTGAGTTAAATATTCTCTTACTAGTACCGGGACCTCAATCAATCAATAGCAACGTAGAACTTCGTACCTACGTACATTAGTTCATGTTGCCATACCACATTAGTAGAGGTAGTAAAGGTATTAGCAGTAGTCGGAGAGGGGTAGGATTAGAAGATATTATTCAAGAAGTTGAATCTAGGAACTATGGTCTTGTCTCACTTATCACCTCAATACTATTTCATATTTAATTTATACATTGATTAAATATGATTCTAAAACAGATATAATGTTATCATCATTTAGTAATCCTACTATCAACAATTTTTTCTTCTATGTATATAGATTCGCAGACAAGAAGATGGTCATTTGACTTATCAGAATATAATGAATTCGGTAATGATGTGGAATTTTTTTTCTATAGATTTTATGTTCATTTGAATGTATTTTTTATACAGTGAAAAAAGTCCGTGAAAATAATGAATTACACTTGGAAGAGCTTCCTTATGCTGTTCTTAAAGTAGGTGTTATATATATATATGTTTACATATGAGTTCAATGTTAATAATTTTCATCAGTACCAAAACTAACCAATAAGATGATGTTATCTTGTAGAGCGTCACACATGCTCATTGAATGGATATCTCAATATCACCAGTTGATTATTTATTTATATGGTGATTAGCTTTTGTTTGAGACTTATGGTAAGCATCAATGCTGAAGTACTATAATAAAACATCAGTCCTGAAAAAGGACAAACTACGGGTTATTGATTTCACTGCTAACCGCTGCTGCCTAGAATATAATTAACTTGTAAATGTAGACATTATCCAGTTATCCATTGAAAGCAATGCTATAGTTAGGAAACGAGTACTAGGTAAGGATGGCCGTTCAATAGGTGAAGTAGTCAAACTCTGTCGGTTGTGGTGGTTCAGACATGTGTTACGAATGCCTAACCACCGACTGGCACGATGAGCGACGTTTCGCAGTGTAGGAGTAGATTGGAAGAAAGCTAGGGGCGGCCAGACCAAAACATGGCACAAATCCATGAAATCACTGACAAGTGCACTAAATCATGTTGGTAGATGTAGGCTACGTGGTTGGGATCCGCGAGACGAGAGTCACCGATGGTTAGAGACCTTGATTGAAATGGCTCAAAATCGTTTTTAATGTCGCAGGTGCTTCCATTCTTTATGTTCTCTCAAATCCTAATCTTTTGAATTACTCATCATCTCTATCTTTCTTCTTCTAAAATTATCTCACTGAATTATGCTTCTCGAATCATGTCTTCGAACTCTAATATTCTCCATTACCTCTAATACTTCCACTACCTCCACCACTATTGGATTTGAACTATCTCTATGCTAATGTGGTATGGCAACCTGAACTGATGTACTTACGTACGAAGTTCTACGTTGTAATTGACTGAATGACTGACTGTCCATTGAAAGGAGCCCAACTGAGATTGATCATTTAAATTTCAACTACCCGCGATGAGAAAATATTGACTGTCCCAATCAATAATTCAGGTGCTTTGCGTTTAGCTTTAAGGTTGCCATCTAATATGATACTAAAAAAATTTGACGATTAATATCTCCGAAAAATTCTCCGTCAGTTCTATCTATTGTTATTCTTTTTTCCCTCTTTACCTCATTTCTATGTGTGTAGATTTTTCGAAGTCGAATTTCAATGAAACTTGGAGCAAATGATGTGAAAGACAATGAAAACAATGAAGAAATTGATCATTCCATATTGAAAGATAGAATACCGGATGATTTGTTGACAACATTATTTCCATTTCAAAAAGATGGTGTCTGGTACGAATCATTGTCAATAGTTGCTATTAGATGACTCGTTTTTTTTTTCCGAAAATTCGTATAGTTTAATTGTTAACTGTTCAGTCAGTCAGTTAGTCAGTCAGCTACAACGTAGAACTTGGTACGTACGTACATAAGTTCAGGTTGTCATACCACATTAGCACAGAGACGCAATTGTCAGTTCGAATTCCATAATAATAGAGTTAGTTAAAGTATTAGTGGTAATGGAGAAGATTAGGTTTTGAAGACATGATTTGCGAAGTAAAATCTGGTGAGATACCTTTATAAAAAGAAGGAGAGAGATGATGAGGAATTCAGAAGATTAGAATTTGAAGGAACACAAACAATGGATGCACCTGCGCCATTACAAACGATTTTAAGCCATATCGTTCAAGGTCTCTAACCATCGGTTATTATCGTTTCGCGGACTCCAACCAATTAGTCACTACATCTACCAACATAACTCAATCCACTTGTCAGTGACTACATGGACTTGTGCCACGATTTGATTTGGCCGTCATTGTTAACTGTTACTTGATTAGTAAGTCAGTCAGTTGCAACGTAGAACATCGTACGTATGAACATAAATTCATGTTGCCATACCACATTAGCACAGAGACGCAAATGTCAAATCAAATCCCAGAGTGTTAAAGATAGTAGAGGTATTAACGGTAATGAAGAAGACTAGAGTTCGGAGATATTATTGATGAAGTATAATTCAGTGAGATAAAGTTAGAAAGACAAAAGTAGAGGTGCTGACGAATCCAGAAGATTAGGATTTGAGAGAGCTCAACGAATGGATGCCCTTGCGCGATTGCAAACGATTTTGAGCCATGTCATTCAAGGTCTCTAACCATTGGTGACTATCGTCTCGCGGACAACAACCAGGTAGCCTACATCTACAAACATCACTCAATCCACTTGTCAATGACTTCATGGATTGCTGTCATGTTTTGGTCTGCCCGCCCTTAGCTTTCTTCCAACTTATATCGCAAAACAAAGATCGACGAGGCAGTCGGTGGTTAGGCATACGTAACACATATCCAAACCACCTCAACTGATGAAGTTTCACTACTTCATCTATTGATCTGCCATCGTTACCTAGCACCCGTTTCCTAACGACAGCATTGCTAACTCGGTTGTCCCACGATACACGAGCAATGCTTCTTAAACATCTATGATCGAATACTAGTAACCTACGAATATCTTCTACTCTCTTTGGCCATGTTTCACAGCCATATAGGAGGACGGAGCGAACTGCTGTGCAGTACACCCGCCCTTTGGTTAGCGAACGGATATCACGCCTACGCCATAAGTGACGCAGGTTGGCAAAAGCCAATCGAGCTTTCTGTATCCGTGCTGAGATTTCGGTCGGGTGTTACCTGATTACATAACAGGTTAACAAATTTAAGAAACATTGTTATATAATAATCTATAGCTAACAAACATTAAGTGATAAGATTTCAGTACTTGAATTTTATGAAACTGAATTCAATTAGCGTTTTACAGTACTAAACTGGCTATCAAACTGATCATTGTCTCTTGACACAGCTCTTGATAGTTTTGTAGTTTGCATTTTTGTTGAGATTTTTTCGCTCATAATCATTTGAGAATAATAGTTTGGTGGTTGGTTGTCGAAAAGCCAAAACAGTTAGAAAGTCATAGAGAACTTGTTTTATGATGGCTAATACCCATTTGTAAAGTGTATCTGTGATTTTAAATGAACTGTTACTACTATTCGCTTTACAGTTCAGATCATTTCCGCGAGTGGACTACAGCATACAAGAAGAGCCAGAATAAAATTAAACGGGTTTTTATGGAATTCACTAAGGAACCTTCTAATATCTTCCTTACTCCATCCACTAGCACTGATTAGTTAAAAATGAACTGATCGGCGCATTTTGATTTGCTCTTGAACTGGACATAATATTTTTAACATTCTGTCTTCTTTAGTACATTTCTATCGAATTTTTCGGGTTGCGACTGGCGCTGGTTAGAGCCTATGTGTTTATACACCATTTGATAATTTATTGATAACCAATGTTAAGATTGTATATATGGCATTTTAATGAATGCTAACTGATAAGGGACGTAGACTTCAGGACTTTGTGCCAATTGCATCCAAGCGTAACACTATGACCATAGCCTCTGTCTTGATTTGGTGGTCACACTTGCCTGTTTTGATGATACAGTAGAGCTATATTGGCTGAAACACTCTGTCAGGTCCTGCCCTACCCAGCAGTTTGGTTTATGAGCCGTAAGATTAAAATCAATAAACTTATAATCCGGGGCTGGTGTCACTGCTGACTGTACAGAGGTGTGGTATCCTTAGGGTATTTATTTTGAACGGCTAGCATCTGCAGCGATGCTGCTTTTTTACTACGAAGTGAAAGGTCTAGTAAAGGTTGGCCTTAGAAATAGCATACTTCACTTTGGTTTCAAGATTTCCATCTCTGATGGTAATATCCGGAATTTATGGAACTAATGCACGTAAAACTACTCATAGAAAAGGTCATGTATAATAATGTTTGAAGCGATTGACCCTCGCGCTCTACAGTCTTGTTTCTACTCTTAACCAATTTCCTTTTCAGATATATCAAAAAGAGTCCTTCCACGATGTGTGCAATTAAGTAGTAACGACTACTCTCAAACCTCGAATAACTGGCTGAATTAAATGTTGAATCACTTAGACTATTGACCCTATTGCTACATGATGAATAAAAATTAATCAACAATTGAAGTTAAACAATACTTCTCGAATAATATCTCTTCGACGTCTCATCTTTTCTATTACCACTCCTACTATGGGGTTGGATTGACAATTCCATCTCTCTGTGATACCGTGGTATGGCAACCTGAACTGATGTATGGACGTACGAAGTTGTAGCTAACTAACTTCGATCACTGTACAAATCCCACTTTTTCTAAATTGATAAGAATTAAGTTCAATTTATTATATTTCTCTTTGTTTTTCATTCTTCTGCAAAAGTAGTTCATTCTCTTGATAAATTTAATCGTAATTTTCCCCATAACTTTGTATTCATTCAAGTTTAGCTTTGAAACGATCCGGTCGTATTCTCTTAGCAGATGATATGGGTCTAGGCAAAACAATTCAGTCGTTAGCTATTGCCTCAGCTTATTATTCTGAATGGCCATTATTAATTATTGCACCATCATCTGTAAGATTTTCATGGAGAGATCAAATTATTCGTTGGCTTGGCAAACCATTGAATATAAATGTATCTCATATAACAGTAGTGAACAGTGGTAAAGATATTACTGATGATTGGCAATTTTTTAATTCATCACCAATTACTATCATTAGTTATGATTTAATGAGTCGTTATGGTAAAGAATTACTGAAACGACAATATGGTGTTGTGATTGCGGTGAGTTTCGATATTTGTTTTAAATGATGTGTATATAAGCAATCTACTTAATGTTATGTGCATTACGGGGTTGTGAAGATTGTTAAGTTACACATTTTTGAAAACATGAATCGATCAATGTTAGACCACCATTAGAAACCTGGAAGCACTGGACGGCCGTTTCGTCCTGGTATGGGACTCCTCAGCAGTGCGCATCCACGACTCCTGCACCCCGCAGGATTCGAACCCAGGACCTTCGGTATTGTAGGCGAACACCTAACCATCGGACCACTGAGCCGGTATCTAATGGTTAGGCGTTCGCGCACAATACCGAAGGTCCTGGGTTCGAATCCTGCGAGGTGCAGGAGCCGTGGATGCGCACTGCTGAGGAGTCCCATACCAGGACGAAACGGCCGTCCAGTGCTTCCAGGTTTCTAATGGTGGTCTAACATTGATCGATTCATGGTTTCGAATTATACGTTATATAACGTGAATTTAATAGAGGGGTAGATTTGTGATATTTGTGTAGAGTATAGACGTGTTACTAATATTTGATCGTTAGAGTAAGTTGTTACTGATGGTGTCTGGCCAACGGATTCACAGTATCTTGCATCGGCAACTGTTAGTAAACACCTAAAACTTGGGATGATGGCTTCTAGTTCT